CGTGCTGCGATAGACGACTGGCCGCGCAGATTGAAGGCCTGTATTCAAAATCACGGAGGTCATTTTGAATAAACTTTAGTGTCATAAGAATCTATGTTTTGTTAAGTTCATTTTGGTATATGAATGGTTACATAATGAATAAACTTGTTTCAATTATTTTACATTAAACATGTGACAGAATTTATGACCTGACTAGGTATATTATTATATCTATTGATAGATAATTTATTTTTAAAATTGGATTTCAATAACCACGACCTTCTCAGATCATTTTAATTGTTTTGTAGAAATCTGTGGATGCAGAACTGTATCTGGTGATTTTGTCATATAGAACGTAATTTTCGACCAATGAGATGCCATTTTGTGGCATTTAGAGCATTTAGGACTCAATGATGATCGTGATGCTCGCTTCGAGGTAACATATTGCCTCTCAACGTTTAATATACCCTTATAAGTCTGAAATAAAATTATGTAGCTTAAATAAAACCTTTTTCTGTTTGGGTTAAAGTTGCCGCTTTGATTATAAGAATTTTCGTTGCGTTAAATATATAGGGTTTGTGATGATTTGGTAATTTGTGCCATACGAAACTGTGCACAAAACAAATTTACAATGCATTTTAGGTGATTATATTTGTCACGTATGCAGGTACGTTTCAAATTACAAGATTGAACAGGTAATATGGTGAGGCAGAAATGTGTTATGAATATGACTTAAACTTTTAATCTACTTAATTTTGCTGAATCAATGTCTATAAGTTTGTCGTTCAATCATTGGAAATGTTTCGAATGACTTCTAAATATTCGGTTTTATGTATGTATGTACTTGTTTTTTTTCAGATATCTTACTAAATTTCATGAGGGATTGCGACTGCGAACACGGAGTGTTTTGATTTTACAACCCCACGAAAAGCACAGCGGTGCTCTTCAAAAGGGGTCGCCCTCCAAACACCACGCTGAGCATCCCTCTCCCGACTAGGCGCGTCGACACCTCCGCCTCCTCCATTCGCCCAATCACGATGTTCGACCAGCCCATACCGTGGGCCCCGAAGGTCAAATATTTAGGCGTCACCCTCGACAGTAGGATGACATTCCGCCCTCACATCAAGACGGTACGCGACCGTGCCGCCTTCATTCTAGGACGTCTCTACCCGATGATATGCAGGCGAAGTAAAATGTCCCTTAGAAATAAGGTGACACTCTACAAAACTTGCATACGCCCCGTCATGACCTATGCAAGTGTAGTGTTCGCTCACGCGGCCCGCACTCACTTAAAATCATTCCAAATTATTCAATCCCGTTTTTGCAGGATAGCCGTCGGAGCCCCGTGGTTCGTCAGGAACGTCGACCTCCATGACGACCTGGACTTAGAGTCCATCAGTAAGTATCTGCAGTCGGCGTCGATGCGCCACTTCGATAAAGCGGCACGACACGAGAACCCTCTCATCGTGGCCGCCGGTAACTACATTCCCGATCCTGCGGACAGAATGGAAAGCAGTCGACGTCGCCCAAAACACGTCATCTCGGATCCTCCCGATCCACTAACGGTGCTTTTAGGTACTTCAAGCACCGGTCACCGTTCTCGTCGAACCCGTCGCTTGCGACGAAGGGCTCGACGAGTAAATTAACTCTCAGACACAGCCCACTGAGTTTCTCGCCGGATCTTCTCAGTGGGTCGCGTTTCCGATCCGGTGGTAGATTCTGCGAAGCACGGCTCTTGCTAGGGTTCGTGTTAGCATCGTCGTCAGGTTTGAGCCCCGTGAGCTCACCTACTAGCCACGGTTACGCTGAAATAGCCTCTCAAGGCTATCAGGTTAGGTAGGAAAAAAAAAATGATTTTACAACAAAAATACTCCAAGCTCACTGTTGGCTGTTAATTTGGCAATCAAATTTGGAATTTAATACAATTGAATACAATTTCAAATTTAATTGCAAACAGCCAGTACTAGAAAATAAACCTGGATAAATTCCACGCAAAATAGCGATATTTTTTTTGTACAGATGTGTAATCGAGTTGGTTCTTGAATAACCACTAGCAAGCAGTTATGCAGCTCGTAACCATCGTAAGATGAACTCCAGCACCCATCTCGAGACTTTAAATCGAAGTTTCAATTGATTTGGAAAACCTTTGTCTTACTATTCAAATCGGAACGCATGATTTGTTTCGCGGCAGAAATAGATATGACGGTGGTGCGATGGTACCGACCTCTGATGAAACGAGCCAAAAATGTTCAACGGGTTTGTTCTATGACAATATAATATTACATCGTAGATTGTTTAATTAATTCATTCATTTTGTGAGTCATTTAAATAATTAAAAAGTTAGTACTATTTTTGTTTTATTTTTATAAACAAAAAGTTATGAAATCAGAGCCAGTCAAACAACACCACTATGTAATGTCACAAAAATCCACGAGAGTGCGTTGTATAGCCTGGTTTGCGGTTCAAGTTGAAGTTCGCATTTTCTAACTTGAGTTGAAATTAGTTTAATGCTTGATTTATAGATGGCGCTCTATAATGTTAGTCAGATTTATTCGAAATGTAACATGGTATGGTTGTATTAGCGAAAATTTTAATTAAATTTTGCTTTGAGGTAGTACAGTGACTCCGACTTCAATCCAATTGAGGTATCGAATTTGTATTTTCAGTGTGGATGACAAAAGTATTCAGATTGTAATGGCACTGTCTATGGCAGTTGTCCAGTATCACTTAACTTTTTTTTAGCGTATCCTTAACCTTAACTACTTAAACTTAACTTACAGCGTAACCTTAACTAGTAGGTTAGCTCACGGAGCTCAAACCTGACGTCGTTGCTAGCACGAACTCTAGCAAGAGCCGTGGTTCGCAAAATCTACCACCGGATCGGAAACGCGACCCACTGAGAAGATCCGGCGAGAAACTCAGTGGGCTGTGTCTGTGGGCTAATTTACTCGCCGAGCCCTTCATCGCAAGCGACGGGTTCAACGAGAACGATGACCGGTGCTTGAGGTACCTAAAAGCACCGTTAGTGGATCGGGAGGATCCGAAATGACGTGTTTTGGGCGACGTCGACTGCTTTCCATTCTGTCCGAAGGATCGGGAATGTAGTTACCGGCGGCCATGATGAGAGGGTTCTCCTGTCGTCGTGCCGCTTTGTCGAAAGGTGCTAGGCTTAGGTTATATACCCCTCTCTAAGGCGCAAGGAATAACATTGTAACTCAGTTTTATTTAATTATGATTTACAATGTTACAATTATGCCTTAGATGTGACAATGTGATGTGACAATGTAGTCTCTAAGTTAATAGCTAATAACGAGAAACTACTTTTTTATCCATCATTTGGTTCAGATGGGTTTTTAATGCTGTCAGTTACGGACGACCTACATAATGGCAATTGGTTATCATTCGAAGAGGGACTTGTAAATTTTTACGAACACTGCTGCGGGCATTTCATTTTGGTGCTTGAGACTACAGGGAAGAAAATACCTCTGGATATATAGCGCAATTATGTGTGGTAACGGATGTATCTGGTATGATTTAATATAGCATTATGTATACAATTATACCAAACTACGAACTGGGTCACGGGTCGTTCATGCCGTGTGCGTCTCTTCTATATATTATTTGGTAAGAGAAATAGACCGTTTGGTAGTTTCTACTCACAATGGATTAAAAAGGTCGTACAACCGTGGGGTTCTTTAACATGATCTAGGGTGAGACGTGGTGGTCTCTCTTTTCTTCTCTCTCATGGTATTTTCCATGGTGAATGCTGTGAGGATTTATGTTATGATCTAGTTATCTTCTTTTGATATCCCACCACAGACGATTGCAGCATAGCTCATCTTTATCGCCTGGAACCGCGATTATCCAAATTGCATTTTCAGATAAACATTTTTTTCTACGTCTTTTATGATCTGAAATTGATTCCTTTATGCGGCTTTTCTAGCGCAATTGAAATAGTTCTCAGCGATAAGTGGTGGACAACATTTTGAATTCATATAAATAATTTTAAAGGCATTATAAAGTCGTCGTGGCCTAAAGGATAAAACGTCCGGTGCATTCGTATGTCTAGCGATGTACCGGTGTTCGAATCTCGCAGACGGTTACTTAGTTTTTCCAATGAAATACGTACTTAACAAATGTTCACGATTGACTTCCACGGTGAAGGAATAACATCGTCTAATAAAAATCGAACCCACAAAATTATATTTTGCGTATTTAATGGTGATAGGACCTCTTGCGAGTCCGGACGAGAAGGTACCACCACCCTGCCTATTTTCTGCCGTGAAGCAGTAGTGCGTTTCGGTTTGAAGGGTGGGGCAGCCGTTGTAACTATACTGAAACCTTAGAACTCATATCTCAAGGTAGGTGGCGGTACTCACGTTGTAGATGTCAATTGACTCCGATAACCACTTAACCGGTGGGCCGTGAGCTTGTCCCCCCATCTAAGCATTAAAAAAAACTAGAGGTCCCGCAGTAGTCGAAATTCGACTATAATTAATTGGAATTTTAAGTTTGTACACTATTAAGATTGTATTTTAAACTTCTATAATCACAAATTTCGCCAATACTACACTATAAAAAATATTAACAAAGACAAACAACTATAAAAAATATTAACAAAAACAAACAATATTTAATCTATTCTCAATTTGACAACAGACGTCAAGAACAAAAGTTTGACAATAAATACTATGCATGCGTGTGTGCGTCAAATACATGGTATGTAGTGTGTGTAATGTTTTCATTAAATGTATCTTTTCATTTAATGTATCTTTTATGCATTATTTAAGAAAATATTAGCATTGTGCACTTCTTCTCTATATTCTTTATAAGTGTGGAAAATTCCATACTCCTCCATCCGCGCAATTTTCGTAAAAAGGGATACAAAGTTTTTGCTTCACGTATTAATATATAGATACTAATTTCGACTATTATTGATGGATTTAATTTTTAGAGTTTCAGGTCTTTGCATCCCTGATGTCGTTATCCTCGTATAAAACAAAGTCGCTTTCTCTATCCCTACATCCCTATGTATGCTTAAATCTTAAAAATTATGCAACGGATTTTGATGCGGTTTTTTTAATAGATAGAGTGATTGAAGAGGAAATTTTATATGTATAAAAACTCCATTAAATAGTGGAGAAATCAATATTAAATTACAGTTTCCGAAGCGAAGCGAGGGCGGGTCGCTAGTATCAACTAAAAGAAAGAAAAAAAGCGCTACTGTATTCCATTTTTAAACCTAATTAAAAACTGTCAGGAGATAGCCCTTTGTCTCGTTGAATATTTGTCAAAATGTATGAAATTAAAAAACACCGCTATAGCTTTGGGGTGAGATAAATGGGAATGACGTCACGACCATTTAAACGCTCTCGCGGATGCGGTCCAAGAGTGTTCGGCATAACAATAGCCCCTTTATCTTAACTTAGATTATGAATTTTCGGATTCAGTGAGCACAAATTGCTTAATTCGTTTAATATTTCGATCGTAGTGAATGGAAAGTTTGCACGGATTAAGTTAGTCAATTAATGTTTACTTAGGATTTGTTCAAAAAGGACAACGCTCTAAGGTAAGTAGGTATATTATTTAGTTTTTATTGTTGTTGGTTGAAAAACACAATTTCAAATCAACCGACGACTATCAATTGCTATTTCAAAGTAAAAATCTATGAATTATTACTCACCAACACTTTCTCAAGAGTTATTGTGATGATGAGAGGTCTATAGTATAGTGGTTTAGCGTACTTATATGTGCAAAAAACGAAATGGAAGAAAAACGGACTTTAGATACACAATTTTTCCTTAACCACTTACTGAACTGAAATTTGGCTCCGAAACTCCGCCTTTTCTCCCTCAACTTATTCTTGAGTATCCTTCTCTTCAAACGGTTAAGTACCAAGTCAGCTTCATCCACGCTCTCGGAGGACGAAGTGCGGGCGATCCGTATCATCCCACCCACAGAATGCCTTCGCCTTTTACTAAACACACTTTGCCCTGTTTCGATTTCCGATACGCCACGTCTGTACATTTTCAGTCGTTTTTTCAATTCGCAGTCCGCCGCGACGTCAGTGGAAATATTTATAAATTCGTAATCAGTGCCGCTTTCGCCTTTTTTGAAAATCGGCTGCGTTGTCCGCGAATTGGATTTCGGGGATCCACATCGTTTCAGCTGCGCTCGTGAGTTTTTGGATTCGATTGTTCGACTACGGGGAAAAGTAAACCAATTTGTATTCGGGGTAACTCGAGCGCGTACGCTTTTTAAATACGTATTCAAGAAAGACACCTTGTTGCGAGGAGGTTTGTACGTAATGCTCGATTTTGATCTTTGCACCTCGTTTTGTTTAACGTCTCTGAATGCGTTTTCGCTGAAGGACTTCGACTTGTGTATCGCTAGACTGCATTCATTTTCTTTACTGAACGAATTTGCATTTGCCGATTCATTGGCTTCGCTCAGAGACGATACTGATGAATAATTAAAACTGCTCGCTGATGGCGCGCTGTTTTCTGCGATTCCTCTCGGGTGTTCTTTAACCGAATTGAATATTTGATTTAAATCGTCGCAAGTTTCGTTGTCGGAGCTTTTGTAGCTGCTCACTTCGCTAAGGGCTCCGGACTGAAACGGGGAGTTGTCAAGGCTATTTGGTTGCAAATTAGAAAAGTTGTTATTCACTGCGAGTTTACTTGGAATGTTGGAAATACTGTTACTGTCGTGTACGATGTAACGATTGTTATCACTTTTGTCATTATCACTGATCAAAACAGGCGTCCTGTATACACGGGTATAGACCTTTCCTCCGGCTATCGAATTGTGCTTTCTGATTGTGTTTCTGTTGATGACGTGCCGAAAGTCTTTCTCCCGTAACGACTGACTAGACTTCAAAGAATTCTCACCGAAACTTTTGATAGACACATTTTCGTCATTCGTCTCGACGAGCAGATTTCCGTCGCAATCAAAAAGTTGTATTGTTGGAAATCGTATACCCGGCGAGAGATTACGGGTTCGCAATTCCCATTTTCTTTGTGAGTTTTTTTTAAGTTGAATACGTATTACGTTGTCGTCTATAATAGGACCGTCACTATCACTCGATTCGTCGTCACCCGCCATTTTTTTGAACATCACTCAACACTTCACATATTTTTAGTATTAGGAAATGATTGTAAATTTTTAAACTTCTCTCGCTGATCTGCTAATTTGTTTGTTTACAGTCAGCTGTTCCTAAACCACTGGCATGACGCCAGTCGCGAAACAATCCGGCATTCACTTGAAAATAGCATCAATGTCAATTTTGTTTTCAAAGCGTGAATAAACGCGCGAACGCTAAGTCGGACGAGTTACTTAGTCGGCGCACTGATTACATTTGAGTACATGATCATTATTGAACATCACTATATTAAATTTGACGACTTGATTTCGAAAACCGTTACACAAGTATGCACTCGAACTGTGGGGGGTGCAGTAAAAAACTGCGTGGGCTCAAGAAAAAAGTAAAAATACAAAAATTTGCCCGCACGCATTTTTCTTTATCGCCCGCTTTTCCTCCGGGAAAAAAGCCGGGAGTAACGCGGACCCAGGTCGTTCGCGACACCGTACATATCTGCACTGAGAACCAACAGCTGAATAGACGCTTTAATCTATTAATAGAGAGAACGAGACGGCGTTCTGGCCGGCTTCCCTTGAACCTAGTAATGTAAGGAAACGGCAAACAACGTAATCTGTGACGTGAGCGCTCGCAACTGTCCGTACTGACACAGTTCTCTGTTTGACCAACAAGCGCGACCATGTGCATTCGTGACTAATAGACAGACTCGCAGATGGTCTTTCTGTTATATAATCGTGTTACGTGTTGGTATTCAACTAGAATCACCTGCAGCAACCATGACGGATGATGTTAAACAATTGTGTCTGAATAATAGGTTCATCAATCTAGATTCAACAATGTAATGTTAATATTATCATATAACGCATTGTTCAAACGAGGAGTAAATTGGTTTCCAAGAAAGTCCTGGTTCAACGGGGTCATTTGGGAAACAAATACATAGATCAATCTTCAATATATAGAAGAGACGAAGATAATTATTTTATATGCCTCTTCTTGGATGCGTACTAAAAGTATTTGAATTATTATTACTACTATAACTATATTAAATCAGAAAGTCATAGCAGATCTTTGTCAACATTATTCATTGCACTGTTAGGAGATGGCTTCAGGTTGGCTAGTTCGAAAAATATTTATATTGTATAATATTACTTTACTTCTTAATTTCGAAGTGGAAATCTATATATTAATACGTCAAGCAAAAACTTTGTATCCCTTTTTACGAAAAATGCGCGGACGGAGGAGTATGAAATTTTCCACACTTATAGAGAATATAGAGAAGAAGTGCACAAAGCTAATATTTTTTTAAAACAATGCATAAAAGATACATTAAATCAATAAAGAAAACATTACACACACTACATACCATGTATTTGACGCACACACGCATGCATACTATTTATTGTCAAACTTTTGTTCTTGGCGTCTGTTGTCAAATTGAGAATAGATTAAATATTGTTTGTCTTTGTTAATATTTTTTATAGTGTAGTCTTGGCGAAATTTGTGATTATAGAAGTATAAATTACAATCATAATAGTGTACAAACTTACAATGTCAATTAATTATAGTCGAATTTCGACTACTACGGGACCTCTAGTACGTCATAAATGGTCTCATCAATTAAATATTGATCGCGCTCATCCACCGTATTTTTCATTTTACAAAATTTTCAGGCTCCTTACCTACCTATTCCTTGAATGTTGGTACCTATGTTTATTTGTAGATTAAAATTCTAAAGTTTAGTTATAGCTTCCTAATTTCACAATAGATTTGGTATTGATAATTTTGTAGATTATTATTTTTTGTAGACTGCGTGCACATGAAGGAATTCGATTTGAAACCTAAGCATTTAATGATTTAAATGAAAAATTTATAATATTGTTTTCAGCCAAGTATAGCAAAACATCTTTATCTAAATCAACACAACAATTTATTTGCCTTGAGATCGAATAAAATTCCTATCACTTAAACGATCGCTGTTGTTATATATTTAAATGTAGCTTATGAGTTACGTCACTATGTGGTAATAGCAGATCCTATAAAGGAAAAAAAAATACAATTTTTTCGGTAGACGGGTTTACTGTCTATCACTGTAAATAGATACTTGACTCGTTAGAAATGTAAATAATATTCTCGTATTCTATCGTATCTCGTATATCTCGTATTCTTCATGTTATGGCTATATACACACTCATGAAGGCTATATACACATAAAACATACCCACAAATATGTACGCACACAACGTACACAAACAAAATATTAAAATTATTAAAAGCACAAAAAATACACAGCCACCTACACATAAATCATACACACAAAATACACAGAAAAATACACGAATAAAACATACACAAAAAAACCTGAATACCATTTATCTTTAACAAAGATACTGACTTCGACCAGAACGATTTAGTAATCAGGTCCACTAATCATTCCCCCAACGAGCCGTTTGTTTGTATTAGACTGTTTGTTTGTTACGGCAATTTTATAGGAAATGTGGTTGTTACCGTTCCCTACTACAAAGAGTTTATTTCCTACAGAGTCAGTGTTATATGTATTGTCTGCTGACCAATAGCAGAAATGTTGTTGAACCACACAGCTACGGTATGGATTTGTCGAAAATAAATTAGGCGCTATTCAGGCTGTTGGCAGATTTATTCTATTGGCTAATAGGTAACTTGTAAGGCCGTCGGGTAAATTGGAAGGTTATCTATAAAAAAATGCAGGCTTGTGTATAAAGGAAAAATAGATACATTATTACGAATATCAATAAATGTAGTCTAATAATTGAAAATCTTATTAAATCAATATGTAAATGTAATTTATAGTAACACATTACTATGAGTTGGGTTTTCGCTAAATGTATTACTACTATTTGAACTATTAACTATCGACTTCCACGGTGAAGGAATAACATCGTGTAATAAAAATCAAACCCGCAATATTATAATTTGCGTAACTACTGGTGGCAGGACCTCTTGTGAGTCCGCACGGGTAGGTACCACCACCCTGCCTATTTCTGCCGTGAAACAGTAATACGTTTTGGTTTGAAGGATGGAGCAGCCGTTGTTATTATACTTGAGACCTTAGAACTTATATCTCAAGGTGGGTGGCGCATTTACGTCGTAGATGTCTATGGGCCACATAACACCAGGTGGGCTGTGAGCGCGTCCACCCATCTAAGCAATAAAAAAAAAATTACATTTCATATTCGTACTTATAAGAAATAAGTCGGGCATGTCCGACGTGGGTATCCCACGTGGTTCATTGACTTCAATTAATCAATCTGTTCTAGTTTTGTAGCATTGTAATATTTTAATTAGGCGGGTTGTGTATTGGATTATAGGCGAAATGACCGCGTCATGTGTTCTGCATGCTGTTGGTGCGCGAGTTACACTTCTTTGGCACCTTCCTCTAAACATAGTGCAAGAACGTTTCAGTTATTTAAGATGAGTGTCTCGTCAATCTTTGCGTGATGTAATTAATTCGTTTGGGAGAGAGAGAGAGAGAGAAAGAGAGAGAGAGAGAAAGAGAGAGAGAAAGAGAGAGAGAGAAAGAGGGAGAGAGAGAGAGAAAGAGAGAGAGAGAGAATACACTTTATTGCACACCAAAACACAATTTAAATTCCAAAAAACAGTCAAAAAGCATATACATTTGTACAATAGGCGGTTTTATCGCGAAAAGCGATCCCTTCCTGACAACTGCTTAATTTACAGAAATTCTGGAAAATATAAAAATATAGCAGGAATGTTGCGGTGTACAATACATTATATAGAAAATATATACATAGAATAAACAGATATATACCGTTTACATATTGTAATTATAATATGAATTCCTTTGCCTGTATATGAAAGATTTTAACCTACTTTCATAAAAGGAGGAAGTTCTCAATTATATTGTACTTTTAAATTTCTACGATATCAGAGTTTCTTCATTCACCGATGTTAAAAAAATATCAACTAAAGGATACTTTCAGATTGATCTATGTATATAGGAAAGACAGGAGCTTCATCAAACTTGTTCCATAGATTAAATATTTATCGAAGGAAATGAAATTGCGTACTTAGCTTTTCTATTACTTTTTGAAACAAAATGTCAATATTCAAATGACGACGAATTCAATTTTGATCGTTTTTAATTATGAAAACTGTAAAGTACATATTCGACATTACGGAGAAGATTTTATGCGTAAAAAAACGTAATCTTTTTGGTTAAGCTAATCATAAAATAGTAAGTGTTGCAATACCTTTCTACTTTGCAAACCAAGTGCGCTGTTAGTTCAATAAACTAGTCAACAAACGTTCTAGTAGTTCTAGTGTTGCAATTTATTACGTCTATATAACCTGCATGCAGCAAACATTTACAGCAAAATATTTACTAAATATTTCAACGTGCCAATGACAGTCGGTTCCAAGAATAGTATTAGAGCAATATTGTCGAAGGCCGGTGTCGTTCTAAAACGCCTATCTATATTGACATTAATCTAGTGAATAGCTTAGTTGCTAGATGTTGTGTTTATTTTGTCTTTATTGCCTTGGAAAGTAGACTTTCTCCCGTAGACATCAGATATACCATAGGTATAGTCAAGCCGCTGCCTACCGTGGAGAATTGCCTTCTTAATGTGTGGTTTATGAGAGAATCCATAAAATTTACTTTGGGTCCAAAGGGAAATCGCATTTCTCTGAGACAAATAGATTTTTTGTATTGTTTTTCTTGCGGATTGGAAAAAAACGAAGAGCGCCTGCATACTTTTTCAAATAATTTTTTTTATGAAGTACATTTTATTAATGAATCATGTGCATGGTGCTAAATAAGAAAAAAAATCAACAATCAACAATAGCAACTACACTTGAGGCTTGGCTCTGTTTCTGGCATCGCTGAAGTCCATGGGCGACGGTAACCTTTAGGTGGCCCGTATGCTCGTCTGCCTACAAGGNATATTGTCGAAGGCCGGTGTCGTTCTAAAACGCCTATCTATATTGACATTAATCTAGTGAATAGCTTAGTTGCTAGATGTTGTGTTTATTTTGTCTTTATTGCCTTGGAAAGTAGACTTTCTCCCGTAGACATCAGATATACCATAGGTATAGTCAAGCCGCTGCCTACCGTGGAGAATTGCCTTCTTAATGTGTGGTTTATGAGAGAATCCATAAAATTTACTTTGGGTCCAAAGGGAAATCGCATTTCTCTGAGACAAATAGATTTTTTGTATTGTTTTTCTTGCGGATTGGAAAAAAACGAAGAGCGCCTGCATACTTTTTCAAATAATTTTTTTTATGAAGTACATTTTATTAATGAATCATGTGCATGGTGCTAAATAAGAAAAAAAATCAACAATCAACAATAGCAACTACACTTGAGGCTTGGCTCTGTTTCTGGCATCGCTGAAGTCCATGGGCGACGGTAACCTTTAGGTGGCCCGTATGCTCGTCTGCCTACAAGGGCAACAATTTTTTTTACAAACCACTGAATACT